CTTATAAGGGGAAATCAATTTGAATCCATTAAATGTGGTTTGGCAGATCTTATTTATATGGTCAGTAAATTTTAGCTGATTATCAATATGTAACCCAAGACTTTTAACTACTCGGGCAGAAGAAATAGTGGTACCTCCAATATGAAGATTAAGATCTGAGTTTATTGCTCTTATTTTATTTGGTGTACCCAAAGTAATTGAAATAGTTTTTGCAAGATTTAAGGAAAGACAGTTCTTACAAGTCCATTCACGTGAACGTTCAAGATCTGAGTTAATTTTTTCTGGAGCGTTATGTTCAGATACAGGATTAAAAGAATAATAAATTTGAAAGTCGTCAGCATACATATGAAGTTGACAATGTTGAAGATATTTAGGGAAGTCAGCCGTATAAATAGAAAACAAGACAGGACCTAGTACAGATCCTTGAGGTACACCATTTTTTATTGTAAGAGGTTTGGAAATAGAACCATGACAGGATACGACTTGAGATCTATTAAGAAGGTAGTTTTCGAGCCAAGTTACGCAGTTTTCAGAAAGGCCATAATATTTTAGTTTAGCAAGCAATAACTTAAAATTAACCGCATCGAACGCTTTAGACATGTCCAATAAAGTAAGTGAAGTTACTTTACTATCACAGCAGCCTTTCAATACGTCATCAATTAGGGAACTTAAAACAGTGGTCGTGCTAAAGTGAGTTCTGAAGCCTGATTGAACAGTAGGAAGAATATTTGCCTGAGATATAAATATATTTAACTAGCTGTTACCCGCAGCTCCGCTTGCGTGGATTTCGCAATTAGGACACATTATTTTTCATCCCCTGATTTATTTTTTGATTTCAATTTTATTACTTTTTAAGTTTGTGCAGTCTTCATTAATGACAATATATAAAAGTGTTTGTCCTCCGCCTGACAAATCAACATAACTACTGGAGCTATAGAAACACGAAATTTGGACAGAAGGTTCCTTTCGTAATGTAAGCATCCATTACCCCTAGGTGTATGAAATAAGGACTGAAAGTTTGGAGTTAGAGTCCCGTGAATTTTTAAATACGACGGAGGGGGGGGGGGGGGTGAAACAAAGTTATTCTATAACATAGGAGTATAATACAATACATCTTTTTTTTATAAGTGGCCATAAGGATTCCCATGTTAAATTTTATACCCCATGTTAACATATGTTTGAGTAAAGATTTAAAATATTTGGATATTTTTGTCGCTAATAGCTGTAGGCAGCTATGTAAAAACAAACATTTACCTGACCTATCTAACTTGGTTGTAAATTTGATATTATTCTGTATTTAATAAAGTTTCGTTGTGCCTATAAAAGTATGTCATAGCTAATCTCTCTGAGATAGTGTCTGTTTTGTATGACTTCTTCACGTCTTACAGGCAAACCATAGTACTCTCAACATTGTCTTCCTAAAGACAGCACCGTGTCTTTAATGGAAATCAGACACTTGTTGTACACTTCATTTATAATCTGAACACTCTCTTGACACTCTGACTTAACTTGACAAACCCAAAGCTTTGCATAATGACTGGTATGTGAAATAAACGACACTACCAACAGTTTTTAAATCCGAGAATTATGTTGGCCCTCTCATCGCATGAAGAAGAGGATCAAGGTAGAAACATTCCGCGTTATTAGGGCGAACGGTGTACACTCTGCTCAAAGCTTGATCTCTTTTGACTCCCGGCGAACCATCAACATTGTTTCCACTTTTTCATCTCTCAAATTTGGTACTTTTTCACACATAGTATTAAGGTACTTCAACATAAAGAAAGATTTTTGCAAAAGTATCCGCTTTGCAAAGCTCAAAAAATGATAGAGGAGTAGTTTTCTGTGAATTATTTACCTTTTCAGTTACATTATTAAAGTCGTTAGGATTAAAATAGACAGCAGGCCATTTTCCAAGTGCACTGCGAGATGAAAAACCGCTGGAAATTGTTCATGTATATGAAAGGCCAAGATTCTCCAGCTGCTATATATATATATATCGACCACTTTCATATAATTTGACCTCATCAATGTGATTTTCAAGACCAAATAATCCTGGTTGGATCCTTTAGTAACACACTTGCATATATATTTAATAGATTTTTTCTTTCAGGAGAATTCAAGGATATTTTTTGGTATAGGTACCTCATTTTATACACGGAAACACAAAATTAGAAGACTTACGGGAGAAATACTCTTACAATTCGTGACATAAAACACAACCGTCAACGCCGTTTTGGCCTCACGCGTCCGACCGCAGACCGCGTTCGCTTCGCAGTCGCTTACTCGGTGACATCGCGCCCTCCCTATTTCCATACAACTTCTTAAATTTCAAACGCTTAGGACTGATTTTTCCAATAATCCTACTACCTCTAATATGCGAAAAACATATTTAACTATTTTAAACTTTGATTTTTAACCACTTTTGGATTAATACTTCTCCTGTTTCTCACCCAAATTATATTCCGTTGGGGATGAATATCAAAAAAAAAAAATTAAAGACAGTCAAGACAAACAATTTTACATGATTACCAAATTTCAAGTAACAAATGTGTTGGAGGGTATTAATACAACATTTTAAGTAAACATCGCCATACAAATATTTTTTCTCATACAAACTTTGTCACCTCATTTGATCTTCTTAGGGGTAGAATCTCAAAAACAGCTGAAATACGCGTTACATTGTTTGTGTTGAAAAGCATTAATATTAAGTTCCAAGTAAAAATTTACAATAGAAATATTTTTCCCATACACAATTAGTTACCACTTTTTACCCCCTTAGGGGTTGAATCTCGGAAAATGCTGAAATACGTGTGTCATTATATGTGTTGAAGAGCACTAATACCAAGTTACACGTGAAAATGTGCAACAGAAGTAGTTTTCCCGTACAAACTTATCCACCACTTTTTACCCCCTTAGGGGTTGAATTTCGAAAAATGGTGAAATACGTGTTTCGTTATTTGTGTTGAAAAGCATTAATACCAAGTTTCACGTAAATATTTACAACAGAAATGGTTAGGAAATAGTCTTCCTGTACAAACTTTACCACCCCTTTTCACCCTTTTAGGGGTGGAAATTCCCAAGTTCCTTTCTTAGTGGGTGTTTACATCACAAAAGCAAACTATTGTCCAAATTTCATGTTTCTAGCTGCAGTAGTTTAGGCTCTGCGTTGATGAATCAGTCAGTCAGGACAAACAATTTTATATGTATAGATTGTTGCAAGAGGGCTGATTCTGCTATTTTCAGCAATGTACTAAGTAAGCTGATTGGTCTGAGATCTTTAAGGCAGGTTGGAGCACCTTTTTTTGGAATTGGTTTTACCAAGGCACATTTCCATTGGCTAGGAATTTGACTTAGTTCGAAAGAGTAATTGATGATGTGAGTTAGAGGATGTAAAATATATATGTTACCTTTGAACCGCGACGTAAGGCTAAGAGGTCATGCGTTTAAACCAGCTAAGCAAAGTGTTAAGATAAAATGCCGCCAAAACTTTTTTGCAAATCGATCCTTCGACGCATGGAACGGTTTACCTTCTTTTGCTGTAACTGCACAGACTCTGTCATCTTTTAAGAAAGAAATCGACACAATCCTTTTTCAATGTTGAACAAAAATCTGTCTACCTATAATGTCGCAATGATCTGTGAATCTGTCACAATGACAAATTATCTATGCTGACAAAATTAAAACATTTGTTTGCTTGATTAAAAAATTGCGTCTAAAAATTCTGATCTAATAAATGAAGTTGAAAAGTGGCAATCCAGTTCAAAGGAAATGTCGATCAGACTACTGACAGACAAAAAACTAAATAATCAATCAGTTTATCTAACTTAAAGAAAAAACCATTGAACATGCCAAATTTCAATTTTTTGTCTTCAAATAATTGAGAAATTTGTCGAAACCTTATTTTATGACAACCCTTGTAACTTAAATATAGATAATACTACACACTATAAGTTTTTTTTTTGCGAAACTTTGTATACCTATAGTAAAAAATCAAGACGGACCTATATACCACAAAATACAGAAGTATGAATCTTTAAAAAAGAAAAAGTTTTGATAAATGAAGTTAGAACAAAATAGTCACTTTAAACATAAGAAAGTTGAAAAGAGAAATAATATTACAAAGGCAATAACAGGAAAGCGAACAAAGAAATAAATAAGAATGAAACAATGATTAACGAAAGAATAAAATACTAAAACAAAGATGACAAAGTTATTAGTAATAAAAAATACACAGAGAAGAAACGGTGTGTTGTAACGGCCTCAAGCTCTGTGAAAAATAGTAACAGTAATAAAAAAAAAACTTGTCCTATTATGAAAAACAATTTAATAAATTTCCTCTTGTCTGTGTTTTATCATAATCTGCACAAAAGTTGACACCCTTTGCAAAATAGCTGGCCGAACATGATCACATTATAAGAGGTTATTGCAAAGCTCCACCCCTCATCAAAAGGCACGACAAGTGTACACACTGAACATTAAAGCCACATTAACATAGGGGCGGGGGATGTTTAAAAAGTTTATTCAGGAACCTGATCAACGAACACAAACACTTGCAGCTGCAGGTCCATATAGATTTTTCCTACATGTCGCAAAATAACGAAGAATGTTAAAATTAATTTATTGGAAAAATTTTTATACTAAAGGCATTCTGAAAAAATTAAACCAAAAAAATTACCTTTATTTTGGTAAAAAAAATCCTTCTTTTTTGTATGCACCCAACACCAGAATGGGAAATCTTTTCTTGATATTTTTCGTCAAAAAACACACTATTCCTTCCAGATTGTGCACCCGTGGCCCCTGGCCGCGCCCCCGCTCTCCCGGTCCAGGCGAGGGATGCAACAATTTAGGGTGGATCCTCGTTGACCGCCCCTAGAGGGTGGTAGGACCACTACCAAACTTTTAGTTTATTTTTAACTACCAAACAATTTACCAGTCATAATAATGAAATCACGCGAGCTTTGAACGTCAAACAATTTAAAATACTGCCGTTATATTTCAAAAATAAAGTGACAAGATTTTTGAGGGGGTGCAAGACTATGTTTCCTATAGTGCCCCAGAATTTCGAGGTTAAGAACTACAGTATTTCTAGTCCGGAGCTGATCACCAGTTTCGTAACGGGTTCATCGAAGCTGTTGGTACCTGGAAAAGTGACTGCTTTCAGCTCGATTCCTCAGGGAACAATCTCGGCGCCCATCGAAGCCGGCGAGTTGGTGGGACAGCCGGATGTTGTGCAGGTGAGTTGTGACGATGATTGAAGTCAAAAAGCTCTTTTTAAGAGGTGTTAAAATTTTTGTTTTCTTTTTTGTTGAGAAGGATCTAGTTTGAATAGTTTGTAGAGACGGTGGTGTTGCCGGTGTTATAGATTTAATTGTTGTGGACACTTTTCTTTCTATATTTTCTTTAAATTGCTTCTTTTGATTTTTTTAAGTTTAAAATAAAATAATGTTATAATCACGCAGGGACCCAATCTTAACTTATTACTCTTATTTATTAACGATATTTATTAATTCCTAATTTTTCTTAGACACATAATCTCCGAAACTACTAGACTAATTGTTGTCAAAATTAATATGTATATTGTGAATATCGTGTATTTGGATAAACATCCCCATCAACGAAACGTCATCCCAAAAATTTACAATAGTGAATAATATTTCAATTTTATAAATTTATCTGTGTTCAGTTTTTACTCTAGACATTCAGTTTTTTGGAAAAAAAGTCAAAATTGTGTAACAACATTTTGTAATTTAACTTTGAAGCTCCAAAACCGAATGTTCTCAAATTTTGCAAACGTTTTAAGGTTATTGTAATTATGATAAATCGTTAATTAAAATTTATTCATTCATCACCATTCAAAAAATTAATGACGTCTTTTTAAAGTTTTCTGACTATAATTGTGCTTCAATGCACTCACATATTTTAGAATTAGTTACACCGTGTGACACAAAAAATTAATAAATGAGGCAATTTATTGTACTGATTTTTTGGTTTCACGATTTTTCGTTTTTTAATCTCCTTTATATTTTCAATGTTTCTTTTGATTTTCTAATTGCAAACGTTGATTTTTCATTTCCTCGGTTTTCCAATTTTTAAATTTTTTAATTTTGCAGTTTTTGGATTTGTTAATTATCCGATTCTTCGATTTCTTTAATTTGCAATATTTCGGTTTTACAATATTTTGTTCTCCGATTTTGTACTTCTTCGACTTTTAAGTTTTTCAGTTTTTAATGTTTCGATTTTTCGTTTCTTCAATTTTCCACGTTCTTGATTTCCAATTTTTATATAGTTTAGATTCTTTTATACTTTCTCATTATTCCATTTTTTTAATTCGAAAAGTTTATAAATCGAAAAATTGAAAATCAAAAATCTACAAAATGGAAAAAGATTGAAAATAGAAAAGTTGAAAAAACGAAAAACTGCAAATCGAAGCACTGAAGAAACGAACGATTGAAACATTGTAAACTAAAAATCGAGAAACTTAAAAATCAAAAAAAAATTAATTAGTAAAGGAAAAAAATTCTAAAACCATAAATTTGAAAAATTTGAAAATTTAAATTGTAAAACGAAAAATCTGAAAACCGTAAAATGCAAATAAAAAAATCGAAAAATTCAAAAATTGAAAATTTTCGCATTGCAAAAAAGAATATAAAATCAGGATATTGAAAAACCGAACCATTGAAAAATAAGGAAATTAAAAACGAAAGGAAAAGTTGGAAATCGAAAAATTAACAAATTAAAAATTGAAAACCCGTGAAATTGCAAATCAAAAATTGCAAAATCTACAAATTTAAACATTCAAAAATTGGAAAAACTGAAAAATTTAAAAATTAAAACTCGAACAGTTGCTAATTGAAAAATAGTAAATCGAAAAATTGAAGAAACGAAAAATTGAAGAAACGAAAAACAGAAAATTTAAATTGCAAAAACAAAAAATTACAAAATCGGAACATTGAAAAATCGAAAAATTTTAAAAACAAAGAAAAAAAACCGAAACGAAAAATTTCTAGTCGAAAATCTGAGGAAATCAGAAATTAAAGCATCGAGAAACTGCAAAAGCTAAAAATTGAAGAAACGGGAACAATGAAAATTTGAAAAATCGCATTTCGAAAAATTGAAGAAACGAAAAATTGGTATCACAAGTTTTCGTTTTTTCTTTTTCCTTAATTTTACAATTTTTTAATTTTTCATTTTCTTTAATTTTAATTTTTTCATTTTTCCATCTTTCGGTTTCATAATTTTTTGTTTTTTGAAGTTTAATTTTTTCAATTTTTCAATTTCTCGATATCCAAATTTTTCAGTTTTACGTTTCCTTAATTTTTCAAGTTCTTGATTTAAATTTTTCATTTTCCTGATTTTTTAATTTTCGTTTACTGGATTTTAGATCACATCGTTTTTTAATTTCGTTTATTTTTTCAATTTTTATTTTGATTTTATAATTTTTTATTTATTCAATTTTTCAAATTTTCAATCTTTGACTTTTTATTTCCCCGGTTTTCCAATTTTTAAATTTATCCTATTCCGATTTCTTTAATTTTCGGTTTAGAGTATTTTGCACTTTTTAGATTTTTAAGTTTCTCAGTTTTAAATTTTTCAATTTTTCGTTTGTTCAATTTTTCAAGTCCGTGGTTTCCAATTTTTGGATTGTTTAGTTTTCATTTTATACTTTCTCGTTTTTCATTTTATATTTTTCAATTTTACAATTCTGCAATTATTCCATTTTTTGATACTAAAAATTGAAAAATCCAAGATTGAGAAACGAAAAATTAAAAAAATTAACATAGAAAAATCGAAAAACTGAAAACCGTTAAATGGAAAATTAAAGAATCGGGAAATTGCAAAATCTATTTCCTTAAATTTTCTTTAATATGTAATTTTTCCATTTTTCCATGTTTCGGTTTCGTAAATTTTCGTTTTTCGAAGTTCAATTTTTTCAATTTTTCAATTTCTCGACTTCCAAATTTTTCAGTTTTTCGTTACTTTAATTTTTCAATTTGCATTTGTTTAATTTTGCAATTTTTCGATACTATAATTCTTCATTTTTCGATTTTTATTTTCCTTAATTTTTCAAGTTCTTGATTTTTATTTTTCATTTTCCTGATTTTTTAATTTTCAGTTACTAGATTTTAGATCACAATTTTTCGGTTTTAATTTCTTTTATTTTTTCAATGTTAATTTTGATTTTAGAATTCTTCATTTGTTCAGTTTTTTAAATTTTTACTCTTTGAGTTTTTATTTCCTGGGTTTTCCAATTTTTAAATTTATCCAATTCCGATTTCTTTAATTTTCAAAATTTTGGTTTTACAATATTTAGTTTTTTCGATTTTAAGTTTCTCAGTTTTCAACTTTTCAATTTTTCGTTTGTTAAATTTTTCAAGTTCATGGTTTAGAATTTTTAGATTATTTAGTTTTCATTTTACACTTTCTCGCTTTTTCATTTTTAATTTTTCAATTGTACAATTCTGTAATTATTCCATTGTTTGATTCCAAAAACTGAAAAATGCAAAAATTAAAAATCGAAAAACCAAAAAATCGGAAAAATTGAGATATCGAAAAGCTGAAAAAACGAAAAATTTCAAAATAGAAAAAGTGGAAAATCGGAAAATCGTAAATCGACGCATTGAAGAAACGGAAGAATGAAAAATTGTAAAGTGAAAATCGAGAAACTTAAAAAGCGAAAAAAAAATTGTAACATTGAAAGTTCGAAAAATATAAAAATTTAAACATTAAAAATCAAAAAAATGAAAACGTTTTAAAATCCAATGATTGAAAAACATAAAACTGCTAAAACCGTAAAATTGATAGAGTGGAACATTCTAAAAAGTATAATGAAATTACTATTACAAATTTAAAATCGAAGCTAAAAAAATTGTATATAAAAAATTTGGAGAAACGAAAAAATGGAAAATTGGAAAACTAAAAAATCTAAGAACGAAAAATAAAAAATTGAAAAATCGAAAAATCAAAAAACTGAAAACCGAAAAATGTAAATCAAAAAAAAAAATTGAAAAATTCAAAAATTGAAAAAATTCTAGACAGAAAAGAAGAAAAATGATAAAATGAGGACATCGGAAAACCGAAAAATTGAAAAATAAAGAAATTAAAAAACCAAAACGAAAAGTTTTTGATCGAAAAATTGAACAAATGAAAAACTAAAGAATCTAAAAATTTAAACATTGAAAAGTTCGAATATCTAAAAACCTAAAAATTGTGCCGTATAATTGACGAAACAAAAAAATGAAAAATTGAAAAATACTAAATCGAAAACTTGTAGAAACGAAAAATTGAGAAAATTGAATTTGTAAAAACACTGAAAAATCGAAAAATTGTAAAAATAAAGAAAATAAAAACCGAAACGAAAAATTTCAATCGAGAAATTGAAAAATTGTATAAATGTTGTAATTGAAAAATAAAAAAATACATATTTAAAACGAAAACTAGAAAAATTGTAAATCAAAAATTGAAGAAACGAAAAATCGGAAAACTGAGAAACTGAAAAATTTTTAATTGAAAAACGAAAACTTAAAAAAATTGAAAAGTAAAGAACTGAGAACCGAAAAATGCAAATTGAAAAATGCAAACCGAAAAATTGAAAAATCTAAAAATTGAAAACTCGGGAAAGTCCAATCGAAATATTCCAAAAACTAAAAATTAAGAAATTCCATAAGTGGAAAATGGAAAAATTGAAGATAAAAAATGAAAAATTGAAGAACTGAAAAACTCAAGTCGAAACAGCTGTGATCTCGAAAAACTTTTTACAATTTCCCAAATAATTGGGATTTGTTGGGTTGCACTTCAGTGGCGAGGGAAGTTCGGTTGAAATAACCTTCAACCAAAAGTTTTTTTTAAATTGAAAACAACAAATTTTTTATTTATGCTCTATGAGAGATATTATATTTAATACTTTTTGAATTTTAGATATCCGTACAACCCAATTCATCAGGCATCATCGACTTAGAAGAAAACTCAAAAAACGTATGGTGTCAAAATATACACTGGGTGAGAGCTCTACGTCTGTCGGACGACTGTCACAGTTACAATATCCAGCTACGTTTTCATCCAACCCAGAAACCAGGCACCAGCTCTGGTAAAAATATATACCCCAAATTGATACTTCAGGCTGTGAGACCCGTCGAAACCGGTCAAGAATTACTCCTTTGGTTTTCCGAAGACTTACTGGCGATGCTGCAGATCGCATTTCTGACACCCGCAAATATACAAGGTGAGCAAAAAACTGAACACATTCATTGTGAAAACACACTATCACAAGAAGTTTAACAATAAATTTGGAATCATACAGTAAACATAGTAGGCGTTAGTTGTCTGTTTCCATGACAACTTGTGGCTACTAGATCTTCATTTTGATATTTTATATTAATGTGTGTTAGAAAGTGATATTTGTAAAATTTCCTTGTACAGGTAACTATGATTAATTGATTATTAGCCAACCCAAAATTATTGTTAAATACTAATTTTCGTTCGAGAAATTAAATTTTCCATGATTTTAGTCAATGTGGACTTTAATCTTGAGGACCATAAACAACAAACGATAAGATAAGACAATCGTCAATTTTTATAATTTTTCATTAAACCAACTAATATTAAATTGAAATAGTCGTTTAGTAATAAAATAAAATACAACATTTTTGTAATAAAATAAATTGTTTCCTGGCCGCGTCCTCCATCACGCGTTTGAACATCACATCAATCATCAGCAGTCGTGGCCGAGTGGTTAAGGCGTCTGACTCGAAATCAGATTCCCTATGGGAGCGTAGGTTCGAATCCTACCGGCTGCGCAATTTTTTTTTTCCTCTTTAATCAAACCCCTAACTTTTTTTTTAACTCCAGGTCAGAAAAAATACGTCTGCACGAAATGTTCGGCCCTCTACGAATCGCCAAACCCCTTAAAACTCCACATTTCCCTCGGATGTGGGCGACAGACGGTCACTTCCCTCTGGGAAAGATTATCCAACGGTCTCAACGAAAACCTCGTACAAACTGCTACCAAAAACGACCTTTTTGATTTTAAATTGTCGCCTGAACCACAAATAATGAGACAGCGTAATGCCATGGACCTTTCGGTGTCGAGTACGAACCATAATAGGCAGGAGTGTGGACAAAAGGACTTGTACAGGCCTTATAGTGAGCCTTCGGCTTTTAAACCTTTTAAGAAGTTGCAAGAGGATCAGTATCATAGGGAGAATCTTCTCGTTCCGATTATGGAGAACGTGCAAATGTGGCCCTTAGCGCCATTTGAGCAGCATCATTTTCATTTGCAGCAGGCGGGGAATGATGATGAGGCTCATATCGAAACGTTGGTGAGTGTAAGAGTTAGTTTTTTTAAGGAAATAAAGTAGTTTAAAATTTTATTAAACAACTTTGAGTGGTTTTGATTGCGTTTTAGTGTTTTGTTCAAAATATTTAAATTTTCGTTAAAAAATCACATTTAAAATATTCAATTAGTAAAACAGTTTCAGATAAAAATTTGTTCAGTCTAATCATTAAATTAATTTATCTGAAATTAATTATTTCTTTTCGTTCGCTAAAAATTACGAAGTTTTTATAATAAAGTATGTTTATTCTTAACTAAGTTATGTAACAAACTTTAAAAGGAATGCTAAAGTTGATTTTTACTTCGAGTTCATCGGGCGATTTGTCACTTTTATGTTTTCTGGACGTTTCATCACCCCTAGAGTACGAAAAAAGTGGTCCCTGGTTTCCATCTTTTTGTCTGTCTGGCGTCTGTGTTGATTTATATAAGACACGTTATTTCCGAAACTACTGGACCGACTGTCGTCAATTTTTTTATGTATATTAGGAATATCATATAGATTTTTCAATTTTTAATTTTTCGTCATCTCGATTTTTCAAGTGCTGGATTTTAATGTTTCATTTTCCCTATTTTTTAATTTTACTTTTTTCGATTTTGTACCACAATGTTTTGTTTTTTTATTTCCTTTATTTTTTCAATGTTACTTTCGATTTTTTAATGTTTCGTTCATTCAACATTTCAAATTTGCAATCTTTAATTTTTCAATTCCTGGATGTTGCAATTTTTAAATTTTGAATAGCAATTTTAGGATTTCTCCATTTCACAATATTTCGTTTTTCGATTTTGCACTTTTTCGATTTTTAAGTTTCTCAATTTTTAATCTTTCGATTTTTCAGTTTTTCGTTTCTTCATTTTTTAAGTTGTTTTCATTTTATACCGTTTCATTTTTTCAGTTTAGATTTTTTTGATTTTGGATTTTTTTTCATTTTTTTGATTGAAGTTGAAAAATATAAAAACTGAAAATATAAAAATTAAACATTACAAAATTTAGTGTAAATGAATCGAAAAATGATAGAATCGTCAAAATCGTAAAATCGAAAAATTGTATTGAAAGATCGAAAAAATGGAACATTGATTTGAATTTTTTTTTTGAAATTGAAAAATCGGAGAAATAAAAGTTTTAAAATCCAGTAACTGAAAAAAAAAGAATTATAATTATTATTACATATTTGAAATTAAAATTACACCGCGATTTAAAAATTGGAACAACAAAACAAAGAAAAATCGAGAAAATGAAAAATCAAAAATGAAGAATCGAAAAAATAAAAAAAGCGGAAGTGGAAAAATTGACAACTTTTTAGTTGTCAATTTTTCCACTTCCGCTTTTTTTATTTAATTTTTGGTTTGCAGTTTTTACTGCAAACCAAAAATTGAAAAAGTGGAAAAGTAAAATATTGCATACTGATAAAAGAAAAATTAGAAAATTAGGGCATTAAGAAACTGAAAAATTTAAAACAAAAAAATATAAAAACCCCAAACGAAAAATTAATCGAATGAAAAATCGAAAAATTGAAAACTCATGAAATTGCAAAATCTAAAAGTTGAAACAGCTATCAAATTGGAAATATCTCAATATTTCGATTTTGCACCTTTTCGATTTTTAAATTACTCAATTTTTAATCTTTCAATTTTTCCATTTTTCCTTTCTTTAATTTTTCAAATTCTTGTTTTCCAATTTTTAGATCTTTCAAAGTTTTCGTTTCATATTTTTCGTTTTTTCATGTTTGGTTTTTGCATTTTTTGACTCGAAAAGTTAAACAATTTCAAAACTAAAAAAATAGGAAAAAATTTAAAAATCGAAAAACTGGAAAACGAAAGATTGCAAAATCGAAAAATTAGAAAATCGAAAAATTAAAACATTGAAAAACTAAAAGTCAAGAAACTTAAAGACAGGAACAAAAATTAATGAATCGAATAATTGGAAAGAATAAAACGCAAATCGAATGAAAATTTCAAAAAACTTAAAAACTGTAAAATAGAAAAATTATAGAACGGTCATAATTGTAAAATCGAAAAACTGTAACATTGAAAGATCGGAAAATTGAATAATTGAAATAAAAAAGTTCTACAGTCCAATAATTGAAAAATGGTAAAATTCTAAAATTGTAAAGTTGACAGGAATTGGGAAAACAAAACAATGAAAAATCGAGAAACTGAAAAATCAAAAATTGAAAAAATGAAACATTTTACATAGAAAAAAAAACATTAGAGCATTGAAAAACAATTGGAGAAATGGAATATTAAAAATTAAAACTGAAAAAACAAAAAATGATGATTATAAAAATAAGGAAAATAAAAAACCGGAACTAGAAACTGCAATTCAAAAATTAAAGAAACCAAATATTGAAAACTAGAGAAACTGAAAAATTAAAAAATCTAAAAGTTGAAAAATCGAAAAATTGATAACCGAAAAATCGCAAATATTGAAAAATACTCAAGACTGAAAAATTTCTAATTTAGAAAATAGAAAAATTATAAAATCAGAACACTGAGATAGCGGAAAATTGAAAAAGTTGAAAAGCGAAACGAAAAATTGCAAATCGGAAAATTGAAGAAAAAAAAATTGAAAGATGGAGACACTGAAAAATCTAAAATTGAGAAACCGAAAAATTAAAAAATATAAAATTTGAAAAATTTAAAACCGAAAAATTGAAAATCGAAAAACTGAAAAATGCAAAAATGAAAAGCTCGACAAAGTGCATTTGTAAAATTGAAGAAACAAAAATGAAAAATTGAAAAATCACAAATCAAAAATTGAAATACTGAAAAATCGAATAATCGAAAAAATAAAGAAAATAAAAGCCGGTACGAAAAATTGCAAATCGAAAGATTTAAAAATCAAAAATTGGAAACTCGAGAAAATAGAATTGAAACTGAAGAAATGAAAAATTGAAAAATCGAAAAACTGGAAAATTAAAAATTGAAAACTCCTGAAATTGCAAATCGAAAAATTTTACAGTCCAAAAATTGAAACTTCTAATAACTGGAAAATCGAAGAACTTAAAAAGTTGCAGGTTCTCAAATTGAAAAAACGAAATATTGAAAAATTGTAAATAAAAAAATTGAAGAAACCGAAAATTGTAAAAATTAAAACTGAAAAAACAAAAAATTATAAAATTCGAAAATTGACAGATTATACAAAAAGAAAATAAAAATTAATAAAAGATATATTAAAAGAAATTGCAACTCTAAAATTGAGGAAACCAAAAATTGAAAAACAAAGAAACTGAAAAATTTGAAATTGAAAAACTAAAACTTAAAAATACTGAAAGTTGGAAAATCGAAAAATTGATAACAGAAAAATTACAAATGGAAATACTAAAAAATAAAAAAATTGAAAAATTTCACATTCAAGAAAAAAAAATATAAATCTAGAACACTGAAATACTGAAAAATTGAAACAATAAAGAACTGAAACGAAAAATTGCTAATCTGAAAATTGATAAATGGAGAAACTGAAAAATTTTAAATTGAAAAAACGAAAAATTAAAAATTCTGAAAGTTGAAAAATTGAAAATTGAAAACCGAAAAATTTATATTTGAAAAATTGAAAAATGTAAAAATGAAAAGTCGAAGAGTTGTATATTCTAAAACTGAAGAAACAAAAAAAAATTAAAAATTGCAAATCGAAAAATTGCAAATCGAAAAATTGCAGACACGAAAAATTTAAACAATTGAAATTAAAACAAAAACATCATAAAATTGGACCATTGAAAAATAGAAAAATTATTGTAAACATAAGAAAAATAAGAAGCAGAAACGAAAAGTACATTTGAAACAAAAAAAAAATGTAACGTCGAAACATTAAAAAATCGAATAATCCAAAAAACAAAAAAAAAATCGAAACGAAAAATTGCAAATCGAAAAATTAAAAATTGAAAACTCGGGAAACTCAAACCGAAAAATTGAAAAGTCTAAAAATTGAAAAATCCAAAAGTTGGAAAGCTGAAAAACTGAAAAATTTTGATTTGAAAACTCGAAAAAATTGGAAATCGAATACCGAAGACACAAAAAAAATTAAAAACTGAAGAATCCAAAAATGCAGGCCAAAAAAACTGCGCCACGCCACTGGTTTTTACTTTATAAAGGTTATCAGAAAACAAAAATCGCAACATTTTATTTATAATTTTTGATTTCAGGGGCGAAGAAAAAAAATTCTTCGACCAACCTTTTAAATTTCTGATGTAGTTGGCCATGATGGTTACTAGAGCAGAAATTTAAGAAATCACACTGTATTTGATTCGATTTACAAAAATCGTTAGTTGCATATGATTTTCAAAATAATTTAATCTACAGTGTTGAACTCAAATTTGTTTGATTAATTACTCGAGGAATTATGAATTGTTTAAATTTATTAAGGTGAAATTTCATAGAACTTCTTAATACAAACTTAAAATGTTTGATTTTTGATTAGACGGCTTTTTCTCGACTTAACTTTACAAATTAACATCGACAGTTCAGTTGGTCAAAACATCTGTTAGATCAGTTTTTACTTTTTTTTATAATTATATATGTGTATATGTGTATATGTATGTTTTGTGTATTCTCTAATTATTTTGTTAGATTTTTTTGCTATGTAGTATTTCTCACTAATTATTATTTACATGTCTAGAATAAGGAACAAAATATATCAAAAATGTTTAACTCATTAAAAAACACATAGAATTGAGTTGAGGTGTTCATTAATTATTAGACAAGAATATGATGACGTCTCCTCAAAATGTTTCATAGTAAATAACATTTAAATTTTAAAATAACATACATGTGGTTTATGAATCCGTCTTGAGATTTTCCCCGAGGCATTCAGTTTTTATATCATATAAATTAAGTGGTCATGGAATTATAACAACCCGGATGTCATAGCCCTTTTTTTCTTACACTGTTACTGCTATTATTATCTATATTTTTTAATGTATAGAAGTTACAACATTGAGACTTAAATGAAAAAGTTTGCATTTAAATTGTATATTTTTAAATCTATGCTATTTTACTAATTCTGACCCCATTTCCAGGTGAGCAGCTTAGGAAAATCCAAACAAGGCCACATCTGCCTCTACTGCGGCAAATGCTACTCCCGAAAATACGGCCTAAAAATCCACATAAGAACCCACACGGGATACAAACCGCTAAAATGCAAATTCTGCATGAGACCTTTCGGGGACCCGAGCAATTTGAACAAACACGTGCGACTTCACGCCGAGGGGAACACCCCGTATAAGTAGGTACCTTATTCCCCAACGCAATAAGGCCGATTTTATCCCCGTTTTCAACAGGTGCGACTTGTGCGGAAAAATTCTAGTCAGGCGACGGGATCTAGACAGACATTTGAAGAGTAGACACATGGTTGAGATGCATCCAGGACTGAATATTTTACAAGAGGATTCGAATCCAGACGAAGATGTTAAAAGTCCGGAAGTTATATCGAATAGTTGAGTTTGTTTTTTGTACAGAGGGATATATTTATGGATTTTTGATTATTTAAAGATTATTAATGAAATAGATTTATTTTTTTTAAGTGTGGGGTTTTATTGTTTAATCCATCGGTGCTTCTGGAGGATTTGCGTCATTTAATGCAATTGAGAGTTTATTTCTTTTGATAAAAGGGTAATAAAATAATTATGTTGCAATAAATAAATAACCATAATTTTTATTACCGGTGAAGTCATCTTGATTCGTAAAATACGAATTTTTGGAACATGTTCATCGACTGTTAATTTTTAATGCACTTTAAAAAAGTACTCAAAATGAGAACTTCTACTTATATTTTGTGTTTGACGTTTTTCTGGATGACTTCGGCAACGAAGGTAAAGTTTATTTATGATACAAGTCATAAAGATAGATTAAAAAAAAATAATCATATTTTTGAATAAATTTGTAAGGGTGGTATCTCGAGTTAAATATTTTAACCACATTACCAGTACCAACAAAATTAATAAAATTTAGTGTTTCTTTAGAAACGAGATATTACAAACAGAAAATTAGTTACTAATTTTATATGGTTATATGTATAGTTGTCAGGTCGAATTATTGGTGGTCAGCCTGCTTTATATGGGCAGTTTCCTTTTGCTGCTGCTATTTACGTGCATAAAACTGATGGTCTCTATTTCTGTGGTGGGACACTTATTAGCAATCAATGGGTTTTGACTGCAGGTCAATGTGTCGATGGGTAAGTAGTTTAAATAATAACAAATTGTAACTAATAGTAATAATATATGAATCTAAAATATATTTGGTGTTTAGAGCTACCTTATTTACAATTCAATTAGGATCAAATTTCTTGGATCGAAATGACCCATATCGTGTTACTGTGGCCACAAGTGAGTCATTCCCCCACCCCGAGTTTGACCCACTCACGCTTCAGAATGACGTCGGTCTGATTAAACTTCGACTGCCAATTGAGTATTCCGGTGGGTGTAATTTATTTTTTTACTATTTTATTTATTAAAAAGATTTTGTTAGATTACATAAGACAAATACGTTTTCTGCCAACGTATAGGCTTCAGGATGCCGCACCTACAATTGCTATTGGTTGGGGGCAAACCAGTGATGGTAAGTCGTTACAAAATTTTGACGTTATTACATTTGAAAAACTAAAAATGGATTTAAAATTCTTTACTTCAGAGGACACAGGGTTTGCGGAGGAGTTAATGAGGGTGAACCTAACCACTCTATCAACCAATGAGTGCAAGTTAACTTACGGTAGTCAAGTTACTGAAGATATGGTATGCGTTGCTGGTAACTATAACGAAGGTAGTTGTATTGTACGTACAGTATATTTATTAATGTGTAAAGTAATTTAACAATAATTATTTATTCAGGGTGATATAGGTAGTCCACTGTTGCAATTTGTGGGAAGAGAATATTACTTAGTTGTTGGAACAGCCAGCTTTCTTAGTGCCAATGGATGCGAAAGTACAGATCCATCTGGATACACTAGAACATTCAGTTACATAAGTTGGATCAAAAATATTACAGGTGTTTAATCTGATCAGAAACATGTATAACATGTAAAAATAATTCATCACAAAACTCTTCGTAAATAAAGTGATATGTATTAAGTTAAAATATTCCTTTATACCTCCTGAGTGTAAGCTAAGGAAGTATTGTAACTGAGTCCATCGGGCGACTGCTACCTGTTTTCATTTTTTCTATAAGCCGTCTGTGTTAATTTTGTTGTCAAATTTTGTGTTTGTATTTATTCTACATTTGGCTTTAGACCAATTTTTTGAATTTTCGACTTTTTGATTTCTGATTTCTCGATTTTCGACTTCGTCATTCTCGATTTTTCGGTTTTTCAATATTTTCATTTTCAATTTTTAGATTTTTAGAGTTTTCATTTTCTTCAAATATTTGTTCCATCGAATTTTCGACTTTTTATTTTTCAAACTTTCGTATTCGATTTTTCGATTTTCGATTTATCGATTTTTCGAATTTTGATTTTTACAAATTTTGACTCTTTAAATTCCTCAATTTTTTTTCATTCTTAATTTTTGATATTCGAATTTTCAATTTTTAAATTTTCCATTTTTTATTTTTTTATTTCTCGATTTTTTTCATTTCTCGAGTTCTCGATTTTTTTTGAAATATTTGGTTTATCGAATTTTCGATTTTTCTGTTTCGAATTTTCAATTTTCCGATTTCGAATTTTCAGTTGTTTTTTAGATATGTCGATTTTTCAATTTTTCGACTTCCGATTTTTCGATTTTTGATTTTTAAGATTTTGAATTATTCAGTTTCTCTATTTTTAATTTTTTTTTAAGTTTCAATTTTTCGATAGTCGAATTTAGAATTTTTTATTTTTCGATTTTTCGATTTTTCAATTTTTCAATTTTTTTGCTTTTCGATTTTTTTATCTCTCGAGTTTCCGAATTTTCAATCGGTATCTCGATTTCCCAATTTTTCATTTTTGTTATTTTTCGAGTTCCCAGAAGATTTTTCTATTTTTCGATTTTTCCATTTTTCAATTTTTCGAGTTTTCACATCAGTGATTTTTTGATTTTCGACTTTTCAATTTTTCAATTTTTCAAAGTTTCAATTTCTCGAATTGTTGATTTTCAACTTTCCGAATTTTCGATTTTTCAGTTCGTCGATTTTTTAATTTTCGAATTTTGGATTTTTATTTCGCGATTTTCTATTTTTTCGTTCTCGATTTTTCGGTTTTTCAATTTTTTCATTTTCAATTCTTATATTTTTGGAAATTTCGTTTTCTTCAAATATTTGTTCCATCGAATTTTCGATTTTTCTATTTTTCGAACTTTTTTATTCGATTTTTCGATCTTGGAATTTGTCAATTTTTTTACATTTCGATGCTCCGATTTTTCGAGATTCGAAATTTTTCAAATTTTGACTCTTTAAATTCTTCAAGTTTTTTACTTCTTAATTTTTCGATATTCGAATTTTCAATTTTTTCAATTTTCGATTTTTTTAGTTTTTTACTTCTCGATTTTTTCAATTCTCGAGTTTTTTTTCAATCGGTTACCCGATTTTCCGAGTTTTTTGATTTTTCGATTTTCTATTTTTTCATTCACTATTTTTTGGTTTTTAAGTTTTTCGAATTTTACAGTTTTTTCTGTTTCGAATTTTCAGTTTTCCAATTTGTAGAATTTTCTTTTTGATTTTTCAATTGTCGAATTTTCAGATTTTTAGTTTTCTATTTTCTGATTTTTCGATATTCGAATTTTTCTTTTTTTTCTTTTCAGTTTGTAAATACCTCGATTTTTCAACGTTTCGACTTCCGATTTTTCAATTTTTGATTTTTCACATTTTCAATTATTCCGTTTTTTGATTCCTCAAATTTTTTTAAATTTCGATTGTTCTATATTCAAATTTTCAATTCTTTTACTTTTCGATTTTTCAATTTGTTGCTTTCAATATCCGAATTTTCAATCGGTTTCTCGATTTCCCGATTTTTCATTTTTTCCATTTTCGACTTCCCGGAAGATTTTTCTATTTTGCGATTATTCCATTTTATAATTTTTCGAGTTTTCGAATTTGTGTTTCCAATTTTTTTATTTTCGACTTTCGGATTTTTGACTTCTCGATTTTCTATTTTTTCATTCTCTATTTTTCGGTTTTTCAATTTTTTGATTTTCAATTTTTCGATTTTTAGTTTTCGTTTTTTCAAATATTTGGTTGATGGAATTTTCGATTTTTCTATATTTCAAATTTTCATATTCGAATTTAATTTTTTTTTGTTTTTCAATTTTTTGAATTTTTGATATTCGAATTTTATTTTTTTTTCGAGTAATCAATATGTCCAATTTTTAATTCTTCGTTTTTTGAATTTTTGAATTTTCGATTTTCAATTTGTTGGAATTTTCGATTTTTCAATTTTCGGTTCTTCCATTTTCGATTTTTTCATTCTCCATTTTTGGTTTTTCGGTTTTTTGATTTTCAATTTTTTCATTTTTATAGAATTTTCTTATTTGATTTTTCGATGTTCGAATTTTCAGTTTTTTTACTTTTCTATTTTCTGATTTTTCGATATTCGAAATTTTCTTGTTTTTTCTTTTCAGTTTGTAAATATTTCGATTTTTCAATTTTTCGACTTCCGATTTTTAGATTTTTTCATTTCTCGAGTTTTCGATTTTTTGATATCCGAATTTTCAATCGGTTTCTCAATTTCCCGGTTTTTCATTTTTTTATTTTTCGACTTCCCGGAAGATTGTTCTATTTTTCGATTTTTCCATTTTTCAATTTTTCAAGTTTTCGAATTTGTGATTTTTCGATTTTCGTCTCTGCAATTTCTCGATTTTTTAAATTTTCAATTTCTCGAATTGGCGGTTTTCAACTTTTCGAGTTTTCTCATTCGAATTTTCAGTTTTTTTACTTTTCGATTTTCTGGTTTTTCGATATTCAGATTTCAATTTTTTTCTTATCGATTTATCGACATCTCGATATTTTAATTTTTGAATTTTCGGTTTTTCACTTTTTCGATTTTCAATTTTTTTAAATTTTCGATTTTTCGGATTTTAAATTTTTTGATTTTCAATTTTCCGAATTTTTTAATTTTCTTATAGGATTTTTCGCTATTCAAATTTTCAGTTTTTTCTGATTTTTCGATATTCGAATTTTTCTTCTTTTTTCTTTTCAATTTTTAGATACTTCGATTTTTCAATTTTTAATTTTTCGATTTTAGATTTTTTGAATTTTCGAATTTTCAGTTTTTCGACTTCCGATGTTGTGATTTTTGATTTTTCAAATTTTCGATTATTCAGTTTTTCTATTCTGCAATTTTTTTACTTTTTGATTTTTCTATTTCTTTTTTTACTTTTCGATTGTTTCATTTCTCGAGTTTTCTGTTTTTTGATTATTCCAATTTTAAATTTTTAGAGTTTGTGATTTTTGGATTTTGGGCTTTAAATTTTTCGATTTTTCAAATTTTTAGTTCTTCGAATTTTTAATTTTAGTTTTCGATTTTTAAATTTCAACTTCTGAATTTTTGATTTTTTGATTTTCTATTTTTTCATTCTCTAATTTTCAGTTTTTCAATTTTTTGATTTTCAATTTTTCGACTTGTACAGTTTCCGTTTTTTCAAATATTCGCTTCATGGAATTCTCGATTTTTCTATTTTTCGAATTTTTTTGCTTCTCAATTTTCTGATTTTTTGATATGCGAAATTTATTTTCTTTTCGATTTATCAACATCTCCATTTTTTAATTTTCCGATCTCTAAATTTTTGAATTTTCGATTATCAATTTGTTGGAATTTTCGATTTTCCAATTTTCGGTTCTTCCATTTTTCATTTTTTTATTCTTCATTTTTGGTTTTTCCATTTTGTGATTTTCAATTTTCCCATTTTTGTCGAATTTTCTTGTTTGAATTTTCGATGTTCGAATTTTCAGTTTTTTAGTTTTCTATTTTCTGATTTTTCGATATTTGAAATTTTGTTCTCTTTCTTTTCAGTTTGTAGATATCTCGGTTTTTCAATTTTTCTACTTCCGATTTTTCGATTTTTGGTTTTTAAGATTTTGAATTATTCAGTTTTTCTATTCAATTTTTTTTTAATTTTCAATTTTTCGATAGTCGAATTTTCAATTTTTTATTTTTCGATTTTTCGATTTTTCAATTTTTTTACTTTTCGATTTTTTTATTTCCCGAGTTTTCGATTCTTTGATATCTGAATTTTCAATCGGTTTCTCGATTTCCCGATTTTTCATTTTTTCTATTTTTCAAGTTTTCGAATATTCGATTGTTCGATTTTCGACTTTTCAATTTCTCGATTTTTCGAATTTTCAATTTCTCGAATTGTCGATTTTCTATCTATCTATCTAACTTTTCGAATTTTGGATTTTGATTTCCCGATTTTCTATTTTTTAATTTTTTCGGTTTCTCAATTTAGTAATTTTCAATTTTTTGATTTTAAGAGTTTTCGTTTTTTCAAATATTTGGTTCATCGAATTTTCGATTTTTCTGTTTTTCGAATTATCTTATTCGAATTTTTAGTTTTTTTACTTTACGATTTTGTGATTTTTTTTTTCTTATCGATTTATCGACATTTCAATTTTGGAATTTCAGAATTATCGATTTTTCACTTTTTCGATTTTCAATTTTTGAAATTTTCAATTTTTCGATTTTTGATTTTTAAGATTTTGAATTATTCAGTTTTTCTATTTTTCAATTTTTTTTAAATTGCGATTTTTCGATTGTCGAATTTTCAATTATTTATTTTTCCATTTTTCACTTTTTCGACTTTCAATTTTTGAAATTTTCGTTTTTTGGGTTTTAAGATTTTTTGTTTTCAACTTTCCGAATTTTTGAATTTTCTTATTGGATTTTTCCATATTCAAATTTTCAGTTTTTTTACTTTTCGAATTTCTGATTGTTCGATATTCGAATTTTTTTTTCTTTTCGATGTAGATTTCTCGATTTTTCAATTTTTTTGATTTTTCGATATTCGATTTTTTGAATTTTCGAATTATCAGTTTTTCGACTTCCGATGTTTCGATCTTTGACTTTCAACTTTTCAATTATTCAGTTTTTCTATTCTTCAATTTTTTTTTACTTTTCGATTTTTTTATTTTGCAGTTTTTTTTACTTTTAGATTTTTTCATTTCTCGAGTTTTCGATTTTTTTTGATATTCGAATTTTCAATCGGTTTTCCGATTTCCCGATTTTTCGACTGTCCGGACGATTTTTTCTGTTTTTGGAATATTCCATTTTTATATTTTTCGAGTTTCTGATTTTTCGATTATGGGCTTTCAATTTCTCGATTTTTCGAATTGTTAATTTTTCGAATTTTTTTATTCTCTATTTTTCGGTTTTTAAATTTTTCGATTTTTCAAATACGTATTTGGTTCATAGAATTTTCGATTTTTCTATTTATCGAATTTTCTGATTCGATTTTTCGATATTAGAATTTTCAATGTTTTTACTTTCCGATTTTCTGATTTTTCAATATTTGAAATTTCACATTTCGATTTTTGAATTTCTGAATTTTCGATTTTTCACTTTTTTGAATTTCTCTTCCTTTTAATATTTGCTTATTTATAAGTAATTGTATGTTTATAACTCTATGTAAAGGTAATTGTATGTTTATAATTCTATGTAGAGGTATATCCGTTAATAAACATTATTATTATTATTAATTTTTTGAAATTTTCGTTTTTCGGTTTTTAGATTTTTTATTTTCGATAATCAAATTTTCAGTTTTTTTATTTTTCGATTTTCTGATTTTGTCCATATTCGAATTTTTCTTTTTTTTCTTTGTAGATTTCTCGATTTTTCAATTTTTTGATTTTTGATTTTTTAAATTTTCAATTATTCACTTCTAATCTTCAATTTTTTTTTTACTTTTCGATTTTTCTATTTTTCAGCTTTTTTACTTTTCGATTTTTTCATTTCTCGCGTTTTCGATTTTTTAATATTCGAATTTTCAATCGGTTTTTAGATATTTCCCGATTTTTCGACTGTTCGGACAATTTTTTCTGTTTTTTGATTATTCCATTTTTAAATTTTTCGAGTTTGTGTTTTTTCGATTTTGGGCTTTCAATTTCTCGATTTTGCAAATTTTTAGTTTTTCAAATTTTTTATTTTTCAATTTCCGATTTTTAATGCTCGACTTTTGGATTTTTGATTTTTTGATTTTCTATTTTTTCATTCTATATTTTTCGGTTTTTAAATTTTTCGATTTTTCAAATACTCATTTGGTTCATAGAATTTTCGATTTTTCCATTTTTCGAATTTTCTGATTGGATTTTTCAATAATCGAATTTTCAATGTTTAAAACTTTCCGATTTTCTGATTTTTCAATATTCGAAATTTCAATTTTCTTCCTTTTCGATTTATCTATATCTCTATTTTTCAATTTTTCGATTTTTCGATTTTCGACTTTTTGAATTTTCGATTTTTCAGTTTGCCAGTTTTTTAATTTTCAACTTTTGAATTTTTAAATTCTTGATGTTCGGTTTTTACATCCTCGATTTTTCGGTCTTTCCATTTTTTGATTTTCTATGTTTCGGTTTTTTGAATTTTCGATTTTGCAATTACTCGACTTGCAATTTTTCGATTTTTTCAAATTTTCCTGAAATTTTTTACTTTTCAATGTTTCGATATTCGAATTTTCAATTTTTTTTACTCTTCAATTTTTTCATTTCTCAAGTTTTCGATTTTTTGATTTCCCGTTTTTTCAATTTTTCGATTTTTAATTTTTGGATTACAATACTGTTATCGTTAGTATTACACTGCACCTACTCAAATTGACATAGGTGTCCTCACATATTTTTCTCGAATGTCTGTTTTATCTATATTTTTACTGACAGAGGGTATTATAAGATAAATAAGATTTCCTTAAAAGTAACATATAAATTTTACCTTCCCCTGGCAACCATTGGGAAATACGAATGAAGTGAACATATCTCTAATTAATTACTAATCTAAAATTGTTCAAAACGCAAATAACTGTTACCATTCTTCTAGCCTTATCTTTATAGATAAAAACTTTACTATTTAATTACCCACTTCAAACTAGACAACTGTTCACATTTAAGATCATACCGATGTATCGTGCCGGATATCATTACCACAATCCCTAAATCCAGTTCAAGAAGCTATCCTTAATCCCCACACCAATTAAAAGATAAGATAAATATCAACTATCACATCCGCAGTACGTAAGTGACAAAATACATAAAGGTACTCCCGGTTTTATTAGTACTAACCCAAAATGAATTTTCTTGCGGTTGTATTTTTCTGTGTGTACACATTTTCACTAATCGTCACTCCTTCGGCGGTAGAAGTATTTAAACAAAAAACAATTGATACACCATTATTAAATTTTCTCTTTTAGGGATCTCCAAGCAGTTTAGATCGTCAATATGGTACTCTTAACGCACATTCTAGCTGAGTAAATAGGTAAAAGTTTACTTGTAGGTATAAGTGGACGTATTATTGGTGGATCAGGGGCACGAGCTGGTCAGTTTCCTTTTGCCGCAGCGATTTACATTGATACTGACGATGGAAGGTACTTCTGCGGTGGAGCTCTCATCAGCAACCTATGGTTGTTAACAGCTGGTCACTGTGTACGAAAGTAAGTACGCTAATATTTTTGGTACTTGTTTAAAAAAAAAATTGTAGTGGAATTCGCTTCACCATTCAACTAGGATCAAACACTTTAAATTCTCAAGATTTTAATAGAGTGACAGTGCGGACCAATACTTCTTTTCTTCATCCAGAATTCGACGATTTGACTTTGCAGAACGACATAGGGCTTATTCAGCTCAATGAACCTGTTCAATTTTCTGGTAAATCAGACTCTTATCGTTTTATTCCGATTTGAAAACCTAATTTTGTTTTAATTGACAGACTACATATCGTCGATATTTTTGCCATCAACCGATCTACAACCTGATGCCGCTGTTTATTCCATTGGATGGGGTCAAACCGATGACTGTAATAATTATAAAGTCGTTTGTGTACTTACCATTTCCTTTTTACAATTTTTTCAGACCATCCAGGACCCGTGGATCACTTGAACTACGCCAACGTCTACACAATGTCTGATGCTAGCTGCAAAAGTGTCTATGGTGACCAAATCTTGGAACATATGATTTGTGTTGAAGGAGAGTACAACCAAGGGACGTGTTTGGTAAGGATGTAGTATTTTTCGGGACAAGTTTTAATATGTTTGTAGGGAGATCTGGGAACACCGCTAGTGCGTTATGTTTTGAATCAACAACACGCTGAGCACGTGGGTGTTTCTTCTTTCCTCAGTTCCAATGGGTGCGAATCCACTGACCCATCGGGGTACATCAAAACCTATGGGTATTTGCAGTGGATTAAAAATATAACTGGGCTTCCTTGAAAGTGGAATTTTAAATGCTGAAATAAAGCGAAAATGATCTTTAGACGAAAAGTATTTTATTGCTGCTTTAATATTTTACGACCTGTGTAATAATTTGTCTTTTTGTTTTATGGACGTTATTAAAGTTTAATCGGTAGGCATTACATTTTGATGTAGTATTCGCTTCAGGGTCAAATTTTCAAGCAAAAATGAAATTTCAACACTTCCCCTCGAGTCAAAGGTTGTGGAAGAGTCCACTAATGAACATTAAATTACGACCCGAAACTATTCACTATACGAGAGAAACCAGGAATAGAACGATTATTAAACAGGTCAAACGATTTTATGATGTTCGACCTTAATTGTACTAGTCTTCTCATCTGAACATTTCTTTATCTAACTAGGTAGTACTATCTACGTTTTCATTTATGTATGTATTGCTGGTAGCATTTCCATTACCGCAAATTACGTTATTTACTGAACATATAAAATCGTATCCTGGATTTTTTTTTAATAGAGAACATAATTTTTGGAACGCCATTTCCCCACCTTTCCTGGTGTGTTTTTTAAAGATGTATACACTTTTTCCACAATTTCCATACTTTGTTTTAATTTTAAACCTGCAGTTTCTAATTGTTCTATTGCATCAGCAATAATTTTAAAGTGAGTTTTAAAGTACAAGAGCTCATTTTTAACGTTTGCTTTATTCAGGAATTCTTGAGCTTTTCTAATCCTTTGTGCATCTGCGGCTTCAAATGACATACAACCTAAAAGTATTCAATATAAGAATGATAGTAAAGAAACAATTATATATTTACTGACTTGTTTTAAAACATCAAAGTGTTCTGCATAAAACAATGCTGCTTGAATCCAAGTGCCTCACCTGGTTAATACAGGTTCAGGTGGGAGAGGTGTATTTGGTAAACTGTTTTTATAAAACTCTACTCTTATTGGTGCTTGTAAAAAGATTTTCTTAACATTGCTAATTATCCCATTGACATCTGGATAATTCAGTCTAGTTGTTTCAGACACTAAATGTAACCCATGTACAATCGCACGCAAATGTTTTGAGCCTATGGGCGGATCATTTTTGCCGGTCGTCACCGAAGGAGGCGGTCCAAATCATCCAAGGGCAGAATTTGTAGGTAGGCTCAAACTACAACGAAATTTACGTGTTGACCAAATTCTTACCCTGAATTAGTTTTAATTTTATAAATACCCTATCTAAAATGTTCAGAATATGATGAGTCTATACTTGTGATTTACCATTCCATTAATATTTTTTGGATTTGTTTATACATACAGGGTGGCTCAATAAAAAATAATGACTGAGTCAATTTATTTTATTGAAGAAATCAAGAATTGCAAAACTGAATACTTTGAAATCTTGTCAATTAGTTAGAAAAAAAAACCTGTCCTGCTCTAATAACATCGAGAATATGCTCAAAATCACACTAATATTAGGTCTAATTGTGCCGACCATAGTTATAAAATTCACATTAAAGTAAGTCACGGACATTTTTTGAAGTGTACTACATTTCAAAAAGCAAAAAAAAATGTTCAGTTTATAAACTTCTTAATTTTGGTTTAAAGTTTATCAATCATATTTGACGCTTTATTTTATCCCTTCCATTTGTTATCCTTTACTGCGGTCTCTCTTGGGTCGAGGTGTAACACCGGACCGAACGTTCTTCGACCGATAAGATAATTTATTACTTCCGACATCTTTTCGGTGACAAATTTATTCTTTGCATTCGTTGTGACCACTGAAATATACAAAGAGTAAATTTTGAAATGGAACGAAAGTCGAAGAATACTTTCAAAGCCACGATCAAAATGTATTTGCTTATCTTCGCCAAAAAATGCATGACGTCATCGTAAAATTTGATATGATGAGTCTATACCTGTGATTTATCATTGCAGTAATATTTTTTAGATTTACTTATACAGCCTGTCTCAAAAAAGGTCACTTCTATTTTCGATTTTTCGTTTTTTCGACCAATAGTTTCATCGAATTGGATTTTTCAGTTTCCATTTTTCTATCAACTTTTCGATTTTATTACTTTCTAATTTTCTGATTTTTCAAATTTGCGGTATTTTGATTTTTCGAGTCTTCAGTTTTTTCGTTTTTCGATTTTTTAATTTTTTGTTTTTTTGTTTTTTCCATGTTTCGATTTTTTAATTTGCCATTCTTTCAATTTTCGATTTTTCGTCTTTCCATTTTTAGATTTTTTGATTTTTCTGTTTGTTAGTTTTTAGACTTTGCAATTTTTTTGCATTTTTCGATTATATTTTACTTTCCGATTTTTTTGATTTTTGAATTCTCGATTTTACGTTTTTAATTCTTCGATTTCCGATTTTTCAATTTTCCGGTTTTTTAATTATGCTATTCTCGATTTTTCGATTTTCCATTAATCATAAAATTTTTCGATTTTTCGGTTGTTTTAATTTTCGACCTTCGATTTTTCAACTTTCGATTATTCGATTTTCCATTTTCTGATTTTACGATTTTTCGATTTGCGATTTTTCGATTTTCGTTTTTCCGCTTTTGTGGTTTTTCGATTTTTCTGTTTGTTTCAGTTTTTATGGTTCTGCAATTTGCAGCTTTTAGATTTCAATTTTGTTACTTTCCCATTTTCCACTTTTCAATTTTTTGATTTGTTTTCGATGGTCGTTTTTTTGATTTTCATTTTTCCGATTTTTTGATTTTTCAATTTTTAGGCCTTGCAATTTTTTTACTTTTCGCTTTTTCGAGTATTTGTTTCATCGAATTTTCGAGTTTTCGATTTTTGATTTTTCGGTTTTTCCATTTTCCGATTTTCGATTTTTCGATTTTCCATGTTTAGATATTTTTCGATTTCTTTTTATTTTTCGATTGTTCTGTTCGTCAGTTTTGAGACTTTGCAATTTTTACTTTTCCACTTTTCTATTATTTTAGTTTCGGATTATTCGATTTTTGAATTTTCGTTTTTTTTTCATTTTTCGATTTCCGATTTTTTAATTTTTCGATTTTTAGGTTTTTTAATTTGTCGATTCTCGATATTCCGATTTTAGATTTTTCGATTTTCCAATATTCGACTTTTCAATTTCCAGTTTTCGATTTTCCACTGTTAGATTTTACGATTTTTCGATTTTTCTGTTCGTCAGTTTTTAGGCTTTGCAATTTGTTTACTTTTAGATTTTTCGATTATTTTTTTCCAGTTTTTTGATTTTTGAATTGTTGACTTTTAGAGTTTTCAATATTATGAATTTTCTAATTTTCGGTTTTCCTATTTTTCGATTTTTGAATTTTCCATTTTTCGGTTTTTTGATTTTTCAATTCTCGGTTTTTCAATCTTGCAAATTTTCGATTTTTCAGATTTGTGAATTTCCAGTTTTTCGATCGACCTACGTATTAGATTAATTGAATTTTCGATTTTCGGTTTTTCCATTTTTAGATTTTTGATTTTCCAGTTTTGTATTTTCAGATTTTCTGTTTTTCGCATATCTGATTTATCAAATTTTCGATTTTTCGGTTTTTCGATTTTTCGATATTTGATTTTCGAATTTTCGATTGTTCAGTTTTCCATTTTTCAGCTTTTAGACTTCAATTTTTTTACTCTTCGATTTTCCAAATTCGCGAGTTTCAATTTTCAGATTTTTGATTTTTCGTTTTTCTTTTTAAATCTTTGAATTTTTCGAATTTTTGATTTTTAATTTTTCCATTCTTCGGTTTTTAGACTTCAATTTTCTTTCTTTAAAATTTTTCGATATTCTATTTTCCGCTTTTCAGAATTTTCGATTTTCAGTTTTCAGACTTTCGATAATTAAAATTTTGGATTTTTCAGTTTTATGATTTTTCGATTTAAAAAAAATTTGATTAGTCGAATTTTCGATTTTTCAATTCATCGATTTTTCTATGTTCAATTTTTCAATTTAAATTTTGCGATGTTCAATTTGTCCATTGTCGATTTTTAGAATGTTCTATTTTTCAATTTTTCCATTCTCAACTGTTAGACTTGAGTTTTGTTACTTTCCGATTTTTTGGTTTTCGATTTTCCAATTTTCAGAATTTCCAAGTTTCTTTATTCAGATTTTCGATTTTCCACTGTTTCGATTTTAGATTTTTCGAATTTTTGTTTTTCCAATTTTTTGCTATTTCGATTTTTCTGTTCGTTTCAGTTTTTAGGCTTTGCAATTTTTTTACTTTATATATTTTGATTATTTTAATTTCCGATTTTTTTTATTTTTGTTTTTGATTTTTTTTACTTTCAATATTACAAATTTTTGACTTTTCGATTTTTGAGGTTTGTGAATTTCCACTTTTCGATCGACCTTGGTATTTGATTTCATTGAATTTTCGATTTTTTGATTAGCCATTTTTAGATTTTCGATTTTTACGATTTGTATTTTTCGATTTTCTGTTTTTTGCATTAGTGAATTTCAGTTTTTCCGATTTTTGATTTTGCGCATATTTGGTTAATCAAATATTGTTGCTTACAAAAACTTCACAACATCTACAATATTTCAAAGTATTCAGTTTTGCTATTCTTGATTTTTTCAATAAAATAAATTGAAAATGAGGTCAAAAAGTCATTAACTTTTTTGAGACACCCTATATAACCAAATCTAAAAAATATTAATGCAGTGATAAATCACAAGTATAAAACTCATCATATTTTATACATTTAAGATAGGATTTATTCTGCAAAATTTTGAGGTGACGTCATAAATTTTTTAGAGGGGATAAGCAAATATATTTTAATTAAAAATGTATCATGTTTATCATGATTTTAAAACATCTGCAAGATTTCAAAGTATTCGATTTTGCAAACTCAAAATTAAATTGCAAAATGTTGTTTCATAATGTTGATTTTTTTTCCAAAAATCTGGACGTTTCGGATAAAAACTCAACACGGAGTCGTAAACTACATGTGTAGGACTATGTTACTGTATACAATTTAAAACCCATTTACTATGCATAAATTTGAAGTGACGTCATCACATTATTGGTGGGGATGATTAGACAAATTTAATAATTTTGCGACATTTATGAAAAAAATTTCAGTTAACAAAAATGGCACGTTTTTATT